AGATCAGTGATTACTTGAAATCGATACCAGGAGGGGGGGGGGGATAAACGAAAAGTTATATAACATTTTATTATTTAATAATTTATTAAAATACATAAGCTTGTCCAACTCCCTGTGGCATCCGTAAAGCGGGTGGGCATTTAATTTATTAATGAGATGCATTAATAAACAAGAAATGCTGCGCGCGAAATTTAAATCCAGCGAGTGTAAGGTCCGACGCGACGCAACTTCAATGAATCAGTGACTCTTCTGAAAAATGGTTTCTACTTTAAATGTCGTTCGCGTTGATCTCCGAGATCTTTTTTAATGAAAATAATCAAAATAGCAGCAGCAAAATTCATGGGAAAATTGTTTACTTCTGATCATGTGACACAAAAATATATAGAGGTCAAAGTTCTCAACATCCGGTTTCCGGCTTTACGGTTGTGCTCCTGCCATGTCGCTCGATCGCAATGAGTTTTAATTTGACAAATATTCAAGTGCAAATGCAATTGTGTCACTTTCTAATGTCATCCATGTCATTACAGATGTCATATATGTAAAGAAAACGAACTTTGAAAGGTTCGAATGCGTGATTTTATGCCACAGTCCTGGCGCGTTTCAACCCTTGGGATATTTTACTTAGGGTGTGTCTACATCGCACGTTAACATTTGCATATAACATTAGCGCGTAACAAAGTTGTGATGAAGGAAAGAGTGGTATAAACAAAGATCAGTGATTACTTGAAATCGATACCAGGAAGGGGGGGGGGGTAAAAGAAAAGTTATATAACATTTTATTATTTAATAATTATTAAAATACATAAGTTTGTCCAACTCCCTGTGGCCTAATACTACACCTGGGTATATACCCCCCCCCCGGGGGGGGGGGGGCTACGGCTACTTCCATAGAAGTGCAATACGGGTATGTGCCGCCCGACTGGGGTGTCATTTCACGTTATTTTGTTTAGAAGTGGGTAGCCATTTATCAATGGTTTGGTTTAGAAATGTGTAGCATTGATTTACTTTTTCACAGATTCTTATATTCAAAGCCAAATACTGGAAAGGCTGAATAAAATGCATTGCCTGGATGCGCTCACTGGTTGCGAAAGTTGTGAGCTGGTTGTTTTTTTTTTCGCTGAAAACACTTGTGTTTAGAAGTGGGTATATAAATAGAAAAAAAATGGTTTAGAAGTGAGTATGGTTTTCGAGAGGTGGGCTTCACACCCTTACCCACTTAATGTGGAAGTAGCCTCCCCCCCGGGGTATATACACTCCCGCGCGTGTCAGAATAAAATGTCTGAACAATGTTGCCGACTAACTTTGCTCGCGCGGACCGTTGCTATGCAAATTTATTAAAGATGGGCGCACCGTCAGATTCTGCAGACGTAGATGCATATGCCTGGGAGATACTAAATGACATATTAACGATTGTTTTTTAGTAACTATGATGCAATAGACCTTATTTGTAAATGGCCGCCGAGACCTCGTTGATAGCGAGAGACATACGTGACTAGTTTTTGACCAACAAATATCGTTCCCTTCTCTCCCGTCACCGTATATACCATGGTTAAACAGATGAAAAGAACAATGGACACGATGACAGTTAGCAGGCCGGTAACGTTAGGATGGGAGAGGACGATGACGGTACAGAGGGGGGGGGGGCGCGAAAAAGGTCGCGTGGCTCTATCGCCCATAGCGACCATTTGTGAATAAGTTATATTTCAAACCTGGCATAGGGTACGTTTTGTTGAAAAGTTAGGTACTAGTATTTTCATCACTTACTCATTCCATCCATTTCAACACAATCCTCATCTCCACTGTCATTTGGCTCACCATCCCCCCAGTTAGTATACACCACACTAGTGCCGTCTATCCAACTGAAAGTGCCTTCCTATGGGAATATTAAAACTAACATTCAAACTAACATATATTGCAGTCTTCTGTGTTTCCTGAAAGGTATGGGTGCTACGTTATATTATTCATCAGTATATTATGAATTTTTACAATATTGTCTTCTTTTATAGTGCTGACCTACAGTTTCGGGAAAATTGGCTATTGGATTCGTTGGTTGGTCCGCCCATGTATGTGATACTCAAAAACCTGGTCTACAACTATATGC